TGCCGCCATATGGAGGCTGCTGCTGTTGGGAATAGTATTGGGCCATTACGGCCTTGATGTGGGGGGTTTCGTGGACAGTGGATTGAGGGTACCGTTGGTGTTTACGGTATGAGGTTTGGGTTTAGGGAGCTTGCAGTGAGATTGACCGGATGCAGGGGGAGGAGTGTTGATGGATTTTCGGAATGGAGCGGACAGGCTGGTCAGTTAGAGAGATAACAGTGACGTATAAATGTTAGTGGTAGTATATGTGGAAAGTGATATGTAGCCGTGATGGTGAGAAAATAGTTTGTGGTTGTGGTTGTAGTTGTAGTTGTCGAAGTTGAAATTGCGGTTAATCCTCTGTTTGGGGCGACGTGGGAACTTCAAGGACAAAATGCCGAGACCAGGCAAAAACATACTCTTGTGTATTTACATCTACGACATGAAAACAAAACCAACGTCAACGTCTAATATTTTCTTTACAAATAAAATAACTAAGGGTGTTTATGACTTAGTCTATGGCCGCTTCTTCACTCGCACCATAATGTAATATACAATACATACATCTTTTGTTACAGGAAATTAATCCCAATCCCAAATTGTAGCCCTTTTCGCCCCTCCTCGCCTTTCCGCATAACAAAAGGCAGCGAGAAATTCAACTCAACCCTCGCAGCAGGATGTGCATACACGAGTCCCACACCCGCCGCCATGCTCGGAAGCCCATTCCCCAACTCCCGAATAGTTGCAACCATGCTATCCCTCACCTCCCTCTGCGTCGAAGGCAGTGTGCGGTCGCGAGTCTTAAGCGACAAAAGTCGTCCCATATTTACAAAAGCTTGCAGGCGGAGCGGTTTCTCCACTCCAACATGAGGCAAGGCGAATAAAAGGTTTGCGCTCCCAGCTGCGAAAACATCCCCACCTAATGCGTCTGAGCCTTCTCGCGGACCAATACCAGCAAGTCTAAACCCGCGCACATCAGTTGGCCCTCCTAGCTGGAAACGATCATTAATGCGGGAAAGCTGAGGTTTCCGATCCGCATCCAGGCCCAACGGATAGAGAATACCCGCACGGACTCCGGTGTTAAAGCTGATCCTGCAATCGCCTTTCATTCCGGGGAGGGGAATGGGCAGAGCCCCCTGGGCTTCAACCTCTGATTTCCAGAAGGACACATCGCCCTTAAGCGGACCCCATCCGGCTAACTCGTTGAAAGTCCTTGTGTAGAATCCCCGCGATGGGAGGAGTGGGTTATCGCGACAATCGTTGACCCAGGTATGCGAGATGCTGCTCTTGACGCTATCGCCTGCATCCCCGCGAACTGTTGGCGAGGCGTTCGTGGATAGACCGGTAACCTGTCTCCAGAACCCGCTGTAGCCTAATTCATGTCTGTGTCCGGTAGGGCTCAGCCAGCGCAACTTGGTCCAGGCTCCCTTGAGCACCTCCTCATGGCTAGCCCAGGTTTTCTCTGTTGAGCTTCCAACCCCACCAAATTCCCACCGGTAGTCCGGGTTGCTAAGAATAGGGGTATCGAAAGCGGCCTGGTAGGCAGATCTGGTACGGGTGCCGAGGGAAGCGTTGACATTGAGGGACTCCGCGCCGCCAAAAATATTCCGCCACAAAAGGTTAGCATAGGCGGATCCTTCGGCGTTTCCGAGATCTGTGCCAGTTTTGAGCAGGATGCGGGACTTCTCTTTGACGGAGAGGAAGACTTCGAGGTCTGTCGGGGTCGTAGAAGGGTCCGTTTGCGTAGGCTTGTCCAGGAAAACGGATATGGGATGTTCAAAGATGTCTAATGTTGAGTTAACTCTTGTACCATGATAGCAAACAAGTTTAAACTCCTTAGCATACCGAATCGATTTAGTTTATTCGTGCATATCGAGATTTGCTGTAGAGCTTCCGACAAAGTATATGGGCGGTCTCTGTTTGAGCTCAACAGCGAACTCAGGACTGTTTCCAGGAAGCCTCTCCTCGTACAGTTGGCATGAATGACTTGGACAGATGAGATGGTACATGGCAGCGTGGAATTTTGCTCAATCTGATATTTACATCCCGTGCAATGAGTTGTCGATTCCAAAAAGATAACGATAGACAGGATTCGGAAAATGCCCCGGGAGGAGGAGCGGATAATTAGGACCAAAGGAAGAACGGAGGACCAACCAATTCAGCCAGACGAGATTGGGCCTTCTGATATATAGCGTTTATTCGCTCATTTATAGCCCGTTGTTGTTCCTCCTGCAGCTTGGGGTCAACTGTGTGCTGCAGCAGCTCGAATATCTGCACAAAAAAAAAAAAAAAAAAAAAAAAAGGGAGTCAGTTTATGCCGGGTGCCCTGGTACTCCCCCCTATCATGGCGGAACTCACATTCTCATCACTCCCGAGTGGTGGATCCATTGCGGCGCTTGCAATAGAATTTGTTGTCTGCGCAGAACTGTCGATAAAGCACCGATTTCACATGTACCCGAAGAGTGGAATCGCCGTACTTCACTGTTAAGTCACGTGATCCTGGTTGGCAAGGCGGTGACGAGGATCAAAATTCGATTGATGACCAACACTTTCAACAACATCAACAACAACAGTTGTGCAGCTACTTGCTATCAACAGGGTCAACTTCATACAGCTTCAACTTCCAACTCTACGCACAACTCTACGCAACTTCAACCTCAGCTTCCAAAGTTTCAGTTTCAAATTTTCCTTTTATTTCAGCTTCTTCAACCATCTCACCTCCTTCCGTCCGGCATCTTTTGACTTCGGCTGTTGTGACCTGACTGCTCTCGTTGCGCTATCGACGTTCTCTCATACCTTTCATCTGGACCCCATCGTTCGTTTCATGGTGATATAATATGGCTACAAGGGCAGCCAACAAACGCGTGAGTGCGCAAACCCCAAAAGATATGCCAGGAGGAAAGATGCTGACCTCTATTCGTGTATGCATTAGCTCGTGCGCGAATTTCAAAATATCCAGAAAAACCCACCACCATATATCATTGCACATCCTTCCGAGTCAAATATCTTAGAGTAAGTAAATCCATAAAAGCCCCCTAAACCCATCAAGAACCAACGACCAGAATATCTAACTCCCTCCAGATGGCATTACATCCTCACAGGTCCCCCCAAAACCCCCTATGAAAACGGCCAGTACTGGGGCACCCTCCTCTTCCCACCGGAATACCCCTTCGCACCCCCCGCCATCCGCATGCACACTCCATCCGGCCGCTTCCAACCCTCCACGCGCCTCTGCCTAAGCATTAGTGACTTCCACCCCAAATCCTTCAACCCAGCCTGGGAGGTCTCAACCATCCTCATCGGCCTCATGTCCTTCATGACCAGCGAGGAGATGACGACAGGCAGCGTCAGCGCATCTGAATCCGAGCGCAAGATCCTAGCAGCACGCTCGAGGTGGTGGAACTCAACCGGTGGCGGGTCCCACTCTAAGGCTGTGGCAGGCGTGTCGCCGTCCACGAGGGGGATTGGAAGTGTCAAAGCAGGCGATGGCGGGTTGAAGTTTCGTACTGAGTGGCCGGAGTTGGATGCGGAGAATTGGAAGTGGATGGCGGAGAACAGAGTGGATCCGGCTACGGGGCAGGTTATGCCTGATCCTAGTGGTGGTGGGGTTGGGAGCGGGAATGGTGGCTCGTCGACGACATGCACGCCGGAGGCTAGTGCGCTTCGCAGACGGGGTGCAGGGAGTGCAGCGGGGCTTGGAGCTGTGATGGAAGGGGGCCAGGCTGCAAGGGAGGTCGGACAGAGTTGGATTCGACGGCATAAGATCTGGGTGGGTCTTGTGCTGGTGCTGGGGTATGCGTTGTTGATTAGGTTGTTTGACGATGGGCGTGGGTAGGATGTCGGTGCAAATCTGTTTGCGCTGTACATTTAACCAGATGTCATTCGCCACTTGGCTAGAATCCCACGGGCCTTTTAAAATTTCGTGTGTTACATTCTTCATGGCTTTGCCGGAAGTAACCAGTATCTCGACGACTTTACTTCCAAGAGGAAAGGAAGAGCACAAGTTACTATAGAGAAATACCGGTGCTTTATCTGTTGTTTTGTTGTTTCAGTGGCAAGGCGTATGGATGGGACACGGTGTTCTCTTTTTACATCCATTACTTTTCTGCCTCTGCCAGTGTTGTTCTCTTCTCCGTTTGATATAGGAGATGGTTCATTCAATGGTGCTCGGGAAACGGAAGTCAAATGGTGTATTCCCTTTTCCCTTGCGCTTGCTTTTTGTGTGCGAGAGGTAAATAAACCAATGTACCTATAGCTTGAATTTGTTTATATTTGGGTTCTTAGCTCTCATGTTTCTTTTCTTCGTCCACAGTATTTGTCTACAATCCCACCAACACTAGAATGGAGAATAGCAAAGACCATCGGCCCACTAAACTCCCAGACAATCATGAGAAGATAGACCTGCAAATAGGATAGTATGTATTAACTAGAGTTTTGAAAGCAAATATAGAAATGGAAACTAGTTATAAGTCATAACATAGAACCAGAGGCTCTAACCAAGGCGAGCAAAACCAACGAACAGAGATAAGAGAGAATAACCAATGTCTATACCACGAAGGAAAGTTGCCGAAACTCTCACGAAAAAGATATATCTTCTGTTAATCTAATATGCGGTTCACAGATCATTGACCTGCGAGGAAGCATCGCTGATGACATTAGCATATAGATACGCAAAAGTATCTAACTCTAGAGGCTAATTGATCGATTGACGAGCAACATGAATGTGCCTGGGGGTTCAACAGAGACATGGATTATCGAGATAAAATTGTAGATAAGAGTTCATGTATCAACCACCCCTCTGCGTCGTGCAATAGAATTACCCAGTTATCAGTGGCGTCACGGAAAATAGCGATGATTTGTCCTCATCAGTTAAGGAGACTTTTATACCCCTTCCTTTATTTGACAGTTTACAATCATATTCTCCCAAACAATTAAAGTCACCAGCCACCCTGGTCGGCTTAACAGCATCGTTGCCGGTTTTGAATCCCTTTGCTTCTCCGCATCGTTGTTGAATGAACAGACTACAGTGGCGCGTCTGCAGTCCCTGCTCCTTGTCGGTTGTCATTAATGGTATTTCGATGGTTCTGTCGTAAGGATCTCTGGTTCATTGTTGTGGAAGAGGGAGGCATATTTGACGTAGATATGATACTCTCCATCACAGGAGCACTGACCGATTGCAGGATTTGGGGTTCGCTATTTGTTTTGGATTCTTCCGAGGAACCTGAGGGATTGGAGAGCTGTTGCCTAGTCCTATACCTAGGCCTTCGTGGTGTTGAATTCGCTGGGTCCTCTGAGAACATAGGATTTCCGATCTGTTTTGTTGTTGCGGTGTTATCTGGGCCAAGTCAGTCTACTGGAGATGTTGTTTTCTTTAAAAAATTTTTCTTAAATCAGTGTGCGTACTGAGTTTCCGGTGTATTGGTAAAACATCGTCTCCGTCTTTGTTTTTTTAATCACTGAACGGCCTCCTCTTACCAGCTACCCGAGTCCGGCAGGGTCTCCGGTCCGAAATATCCCAAGGAAGCAACAGGATTGTCCTCCGTGATCTGTCCAGGACTGCTTGCTGGGGAACTATTTGTATCGCCGATACCGGTGACGCACAATGTAACTGGCCGTTCCCTGACGACGTCTAAAACTCAAGGAGGCATCGTTTGGCAAGACAGCCCGGTGATTTGAGATACCGCCTCTCAGCCTCCCAGTAATCGGGCAATTGGATCTGTTTCAAAATTGCTGTGGGTTTTAGCCACTCCTGAGTCGATGGGCTATATACCATTGCACGTCAATTTCAGAAAGGTACTTCACGCCGTTTTCGTACGATTCAAGCAACTATATGGAGGCATTCCTTACAAAAGCCCGGAGTCTTTTTGGGTTGGAATTAATCACAGTCGGAATCCGGGGCCTCGATTGGGAGCTTCGCCTGCCTTGCAGCGGTAAAAAGATATACTTCCGACCTCGAGCAAGCATTCCATGCCTCGCACTCATGTGGTTATTCATTTCGGCATTGTCTTCACGGAACGTGGCAGCTCTGGGCTCGGGGTGAAGGTGGGTGGAGGCCCTGGATCTGGTGAGACTCCACAATGATGTTGACACCACTCATCGTAATCTGAGTTGCAGCATCCGCTTGTTTCGGACGACAATTCAGCGAATTTTGGCGGCAGGGTTAATCTCTCGAGATTCTTTTTGGTTAGGGGGTGCGACGCTCTGCTGCTCTCGTGGCATTACATAAGAAGATGAAGGGGAACATGATGCGGGCGGGGTATTGTTCTCCACCCTTCTCCACTATTCTCCACTTTTGTCAAGGCGTTTAGTGGGGATGGTTGAATCATGACATGTCGACGTACCAGCTGTAGGACCCCTGCATTTAGGGCTTCAAGTGTGAATACGTATTTCTCTTTCTCGACTTCTTCATGTTATCCTTGCCCCCTATGCCTCTGTGTTTCATATATCCACAATTTTAGCAGCTTTGTTTCCTTTTCAAGTTATCAACAGCAGAAACGTCTGTTGATCCACCTTTCTGATTTCTTTAGACACGGCGGACATGGAAAATGATGTTATTTATGGGGTGCTGGCAATAGGGATCTCCACACTTCCATTCATTTCACTGTTCGCCGCACGCCGGTACTCTGCAAATGTTGAGAAAGCTGTCCGAATGTGTATGCACAGGGAATTAGTATCAATATTGTGGTTCTATTTACCCCGGAATTACGGAAGTCTATTTCGAGTTTAAATGACTTCATGAAAAATATACCATTTTTACTTAATGCCACCACTTCCTGCCTCCTATATCCACACACGCTTGTGTAATAAAATAGTTAATTTTTCTATTATTATATTTCGTTGTTGTCATGACTCGGTCTAGTCAAGATAATAACAAGAACAAGTTTCAAATTCATCTATCTGACTAGGCAGCCTGCAACGAGAATACTAAACTGGGAGATTAGAATGTGAAATGAAAGAGCAACCGAATATGAAGAGGTTGGTGATCAGAGCGAATCAACCTTAATCCATATTACAAGCAGCTGCGCCGTAACAATTGTCAATGGTTAATATTTTTTAAAATGTTAAACATTCGAGATTGATTTTGTCTCTAACAAGAATATAATTATATATATACTTCATTGTTTAAATAGTCTTTTCTGTTAATATTATAATCTAGTATATTTCAATTTCTTTTAATTATTAGATATAATTGTTAATAAAATTAATATGATAAATAGTAACTCTATTGCTCAGCAGATAAATTATTATTCTTCTTCTTATTCTTCATTTTAAGTGTATGCAGTCAAAGTCTATGACATTTATCTAGTTAGATTAGAATTAGCTATTAAGTAGATTTAATCCATAAATGCAAATTAATTGTAGAGGATTAAGTGCTAAGAACTAAAGACTAGTTCTACTATATAACAAAGACAAATTGCTTGAGAAAGAGAAGAAAAGAATGAGATGAGAATATGAGCTTAAGTGAGCTCATGTAGTATGATCATGTATGCACATGCAAATGATGACTAGGCTGAGTCAGCCAGTCAGAGCAAATCTAGAGGTTCAGCCTCTTATAATACCCCCTCTTCTCTCTTTTTATTGTAAGTCTTTATGACTATTTAAAGCTCTCTTTACATTTAATTTTATCTGCTGAGAGGTCTCTCAAGCATTCAAAGCCTTCACTTCTTGTAGGAGACTTGTGTCATTTCATGTAGACTCAGTCTAACTTACTTATTTAATAAGATATTGTTTTTTTCTCTGATAAGTTTATTCATCTTAAATTTTCTCAATCTCAAACTCAAGTCCTTCTGAGATCTCTATAGCAGGTGGCTGTCAGTCAGTTTGCCTCTGACTAAGCAGAGAATCTGTCACTGCAGCATGTAGAAGCTTTACATTAAAGACATTGTGAATATCAGATGAGACATTCAATCAGTAAGCATAGAATTCTATCTTTTCTAGCACAGTATATTGATTGTATTTTGTATTTAGCTTCTTGCATGAGTAATTAGTTCTCATGTTCTCTAAACTCAATCAGATATTATCTCTGGGTTGAAAGCTTGAAGCTGAGTCTCTTTGTCTATTTGCATAGTTCTCTTGAGATTGCTGAGCATTTGTCATTTTTACTTGAGCTCACTTCAACATTTCACAAGCCTTTCTCATATAATCATCTGCAAACTCAATAAGATTATATGATATTTCAACAGGAAGTGCATCAGCTATATCAATAGAGAAGATGTGAAAAAGATATGTTAAAAAGAATGAGCTCACACCTGTTGAGACAGCATCTCTATTATTAATGATCAGCTCTGCCAGAGAGAGTCATTCACATCAGTCATCCTGTTGAAAGCTAATATACTTGTGTAGATATATTTTCAGGGTCTGATTTATTTGCTCTGTAGCTCTGTCAGTCTCTGAGTGATAGACTGTGAAAAGTCATCTCTTAATGTCTAATTTCTCACACATCTGAGTTCAAAACATGCTTGTGAAAGTTAATCTTTGATCTGACATTATTATCTTAAAGATGTCATGTCAAGAGATGATGTTGTGAAAAAATACTCTAACTACTGTCTTCACATCAGTTTTCTTAACTGCTTTTAATATAACTCTCTTGATCAGTCTATCTATTATAATCATGATATTCATATATTCTTTAGAGCTTGGTAAGTTCATGATAAAATTTATAGAAAGCTTCTGCCATATACATTCAGAAATGAAAAGAGGCTTAAGCAGTTTCTGACATCAATCTCTTCATGCAGTGTTTGATCTGCAAAGATGACAGTTTCTGATCATTCTTCTCACATCAGCAGCATAGCCTGGCCAGTAGAACTCATGTCTTAGAACTTCTGCTGTTTGCTCTCATCTAAGATGATTAGTAAGAGGTGAGTCATTAGCCTTATATACTAATCTAATTTGAAGAGGTTTGAAGTCTAATACTCACTTACAATCTTGAAAGAGAAGCTCTTCATTCTCATTTAAAGAGCACTCAGAGACAGAGGTATTAATGCTGAGTTCAGAAGAAAATCTGAATCTTCTTTCATAAAAAATCTGCTTCAGACACTGCAGAATCTTGTTATTTTTGTGAGTCTTATTTCACTGAGCTTAAAGAGACATCTCAGGTTTCACACTAACAGTGGCCACTATTGATTCCATTTCAGGTGCCAGTACATTAAACTTAAGTAGTTGAGCTTGCCTCTACTTGATTCTCTTATCATCAGTGCTCTATAGCATGTTCTGCTCTCTTTGCAATAGAGTATCTGATTCACTGTTCAACTTCTCTGACTGATAATCAATTTTAAAGTTGAATCAATAGAGAATATTCATTCAACATAGCTGTTTTTCATTTAGTCTGTGTATAGTCATGAAGTATTCTAGATTCTTATGATCTGTGAGAATTTTGAATTTCTTTACACTTTGTAGCTCAGCATTTTATTTCTTTAAATACTCAATTATTGCTAATAACTTCTTATTATAAATCTTGTAGTTGCATTCCGCAGGTGAATGCTTGCAAGAGAAGAAGGTACATGAGTATAGAATACTCTGCTTATTATATTGTAGCAGCACTTCTTCTGAGATGTAATTTGAAAAGTTCATTTTCAATATAGTCTCATAGTCAGAGTTGAATTGAAAAAGAATTAGAGTGAAGATAAACATTGATTTTAGACACTTAAAAGCTTCCTCAGCCTTGCTCATCTACAAAAAAGAAACATTCTTGCATGTAAAAATTGTCAGTGAGATCATGATCTTTGAGAAATCCCTGATAAATCATCTATAGAAATTGGCAAAGTCTAAAAATCCTTATATACCCTTAAGAGTAGTAGGTGTCACCCATTCTAAAACAGCTTTAATTTTCTCTGAATCCATTCATATACCCTTGCTCACTTTAATGATAAATTCAAGATATTTTATGCTGTTTATCTTGAACTTATTCTTTCTGATATTTGCCTGCAGGCCTGCTTACTGTAGATGCATAAGCATCTTTTATACATACTCATAATACTCCTGTAAACTTCTTGAGGAAAATATCAAAATGTCATCTAAATAGACTGAGCAGAAGTCATCTAAATATTCATATAATGCTTAGTTGATATATTTTTGAAATGTGCTTAGAGCATTGACCAAATCAAAGAGTGTAACCAGCTACTCAAATACTCTATATTTGATTTTAAAGGTCATCATCCACTCATCACCTTCTGTGATTCGAATTTTATGAAAAGCTGCAATAATATCTAGCTTAGTAAATCATTTAGTCTATTCAATTTACTGTAGAGTCTCATTGATTAATAGTAGAGGATATCAATTCTTTTGAGTAATTTTGTTAATAGCTCAATAGTCTACACAGAATCTTAGCCCATCCTCAGACTTCTTTATGAATAGTACAGAGGCGGCTATGGGAGAGTTGCTCATTTTAATAAAACTCTTATCTAGATAATCTGTAAGAGTCTTTTATAAAGTTAGTAGTTTCTTTCAAGACATATTATATAGTGAGCCTCAAGAAGGTTATTCTGTACTACTATTAGTCATTTTAATCAGTTCAATCCCATGATCTCTACCTGGGCTATAAAGTGGAGGTAGAGTGTTAGTGGCTTTTTTATCAAATATATTTAAAAACTCATGATAATGTTTAGGCAGCTTTTCTCTAGAATCAATATTTAATTTCACTTCTAGAGTCTTTTGAATATCAGTCAAACTGATAGTGAAAATCTCAATGTTTCACTTCTATTGAGTGCTCGCAAGCCTAAAGAAGCTTATGGCAGAGATGAGAATCACATCAGCTTTTGCATTTGAACTAGACTC